CCCGTGTCCGTGTGTCTGTCCGTGCCACTGCGCTGACCCTGCGCTGTGCTTTGCAGCGGGAGCGGGAGCGCAGGAACAGCGACAAATCCGAAGATGGATACCACTCCGATGGCGACTACGGAGAGCACGACTACAGGAACGACATTAACGACGAGAAGGAGAGTAAAACCATCATGTTGCGTGGGCTGCCCATCACGGTCACGGAGAGCGATGTGAGTACCGCGCGGGCTGCGCCCTGCCCTGCCCGTGTGCCCGTGCCGGAGCGGCCGCTGCCATTTTGTTCAGCGCTGCATCGCAGTGTCCCCTGCAGCCTCCTCCGCGCTGCCATTTTGAGTCCTGAAAGCATTTACACTGCCACTCTGAAATAGCAGAGGTCAGCTCAATGTTAACATGTTCCTTTCAGACAGAACGATCTGTAGCTCCTTCTTTGTTTCACTTGGGTGCTTTTCCTCGAAGAGGTTTTTAAACTCTTTGCTGCTTTGCTGTATTGCAGGGAAGAGGCAGATTTTTTGCGGTTTCTCCCTGACCCTCAGGTCTGGGTGAGAGGAGGGAGACAGACACAGAGGTGGCACTTACTGAACGTTTCTGGTGTTCACTGAAGGAAGGAGTTGTGCCTGGTGGGGGCACACACGGACCCCGAGCTCCTCAGCTAGCACAGCTCCGCACAAAGCTGCTTTGTGTGGGCACAGCTGTGGGAGTCATAAAATGGCTGCTGCACGGAGGGAGCCAGTGCAGCTGAGCTTGGGACTTAGTTATCTAACTTGTTCAGTAGGAAGGTGTTGAAAATGACCAGCTCTGAGCTTGTTTTTTATATTATTTAAAAAGATTTTTTCCTCCTGTAAGCTCACAGCTGTTACTGGAGGGGCAGCCCTGTAAAGGCTGAGCTGCTGCAGTTTGTTTTCACTCAGACTCCACCTCTGCCCTGAGGTATTTCTGCAGTGGTTACTGACATTGTGAATGTTTCTGCACCATTTCTACAAGGGAAGTTTGTCCCTTTTTGATTCATCGTTTGCATTCTACCCTCCTAATACTGAGTGTTTTTCCCAATCACCATGTACTGCTATAACGTTTTCATAAGTGCTTGGTTGAAACCAAGTGTAGTTTCCTGCACCCAAATGAGACAGCCCAGTAAGACCTTACACAGAACATCTTAGAGCTGGTTTTGTTTCTGAGATACTGGTGTTGCAGCTCTACAGTTGTGCAATAACTGTAAGATAATTCATGTGAATGTTTAGTTCTGAATTAATCTTTAGACAGAGACAATGCATCTTGGAATTTAACATTACTTCAGCAGTCCTGGTTGTATTTTTTCAGTATTTTTTCAGCTTTTTCCACATTTTTCTTGCAAAAAAGCTACTTGGATTGGAGATGTCAGTTCCAGTCAGCACAGAAATGGGCAGCTTTAGATCAGTTGTGATTCTGATGAGCAGCTCTGTTGTATGTTATGTAATATGAGTTCTGTAAAAGCTGCTGAAAAACCTCCTTTTGTCTTCTGCTCTGACACTAAAACATTTGTTAGTGTTTCTTGTTCCCCCAAGCCTCTCCACAGTTATTTGTGTCACCTGTGCCACAGCATAAGCAGCTTTGTTACAGCTGAAGAACTGACGTCTCTCTAGTTTTTGTTCTGTTTTTTTTTTTTTGACGACACATTCTCCACAGATCTACTTGATCTCCTGAGAAAACAAAGGGGATCTGTTAGGGGATGAGAACTTTAGCATGAGGCTTAAGAATACATTCATCATGGAGCCTTGCAGTGTAGGCTTCTTGTTTTTCATTGCTAGGATCAAGGAGTATTCAGACATGCAGGGACAGGGGTGCTAGCAGTGTTCTTAAGAACTTGGGGTCAAGCACAGTACTTGCCAAATCTTGCACAAGTAACCTTGCAACACGAGGCTGTAGGGAGCAGATGCTGGATGACTGTGGCAAGTGATGATGACAGTTGGTTACTGTAGCAAAGGACTTTGTGGGCTCTCTGGTGCTCACCAGTCTCCTATTAGGGTCTCCATAAAGGCTTGCTTTCTCTCTGTTGAGAGTGTTATGCATGCACTATAAGGTAGGCTGCTTCTGTGACTTGTAGCTGTCTGCCCCGATATGAAAATGTTAACTGTTGGATTAAAATCTCATGCAGATTCGTGAGCTTATTGAGTCCTTTGAAGGTCCTCAGCCTGCAGACGTGAGGCTGATGAAGAGAAAGACAGGTGAGAGCTCTTAATCCAGTTTTTGACATCGCCTTCCTCTTCCCCAGCCCAAAAGAGTATCCAGAATTGTCCCCAAACTGCAAGCACATGCAATAAAAATAAAAAAAAAATGGTTTGCCATGGCTAAGGAATGTGGCTTTTTGGAAGACTTTTAGATAGCTGGTCAACATGTTAAAAGAAGTCTGTCTGCAGGGGGTTTTGTTAACAGGTATTGGTAAGTAATAGTAGCGTAAACCCATTTGATATTATGTAGTGTGTTGCATGGTTACCTTTAAACGTGGATTCAGATGGAGTGAAATGTAGCCAGTTCAGGCAGCTTGGTTCCTTGCCATGGCAAAATAACGAGCAGATCCCAGCAGTTGACGTCGCATTTGTAAAGCTGCTTTGTCATGAAGTAATGAAGCAGTTGGAGAGAGATTCGCCTGTTTTAAAGGAACTGACTAACACAAGTATCCCGTCTATATCTGAATGCTGTCTCTAGGTGTAAGCCGTGGTTTCGCCTTCGTGGAGTTTTATCACTTTCAAGATGCTACCAGCTGGATGGAAGCCAATCAGGTTGCTTCACTCACCAAGTCTAGATATTCCTGAAAATGGAACAAGTCTGTACAGTTTAAAAAAAAAAAAAAAAAAGGAAAAATGGAGGTGGAAGGAGTGGTTTGTTCCATAACAGTGATTTAAAAGAATGAAAGCTTTGTATATATTAAAATTTGTAACAGTAGGACAAAATATCAGGTGAAATTGGAAGAGAAAATTGACTGTTTTGAGCATTCTTTGCTATTATTTTAAATGACTTTGTTTCTGTTTAATTGGTTCATGAAGATTTTGCTAATAGTCCTTGGAAAATCGTAACTTACTTGCACCTGATGCTTTCTTCTCTGTTGTCAGAGAAAGCACCTGATTTGTGTTACTTCTCTGAAAGAGAAGTGTCAGTTCATAGCAGTAGCCTGTTCCTCAGTTAAAGAGGGAGAACTGGCTCTTTTAGAGGAACCAGCATGTTTATGCCAATTAAATTAGGTAAGAGTGAATTCTCACATCTCTTATGCTCTGTGTTTTGGTTTTTTTGTTAGCATGACTTGATAAGAAGCCAAAATGCAGTGGGAGACCTCTAGTTTGTTCTCCCGTGATATTTTCCTGTGCCACTGCAAGCAGTTGCACTTGGCTTTGCTCCTTTTGAATATTCATAATCTGTTTTAACAACAGAACTGAAACATGCTCTCAGAGTGAGCAAAGCATAATGAGTTGGTGTTGCTTCTTGCACCTGAGTATTTGATGTGCAGGTCCCTGGGCAGCATGATGAATGTTTTTCTGCTCTGTTGGCCTTACCATAAAGAAATGGCACCATAATGGGATTCATGGCAGTTCCAGCAGATGGAAGCTGTCGTGTGCCTTGTGCTGAATAGTGTTTCTCCATAGGTGGTTTCCCCAGCCAGAGGGAGAGCAGTCTTCAAATTCTGCTTTCCTGACATGCTGCTCAGTAGGGCTGGTGGATGCAGTGAAAGATTTATATCAAGAAACTAATGCTGAGCATATTTTCAGAAATGAGATTATTTTAATATATACAAAGCTGTACTGATGCATAATTTATTGAAACATACTCAAATTCACTCCAGTAAACGGCCACCCTAGTAGTAGGGAATCCGTAGCCTCTCCCCAGCAGCCGGGTTGCTGACTGTTAGATGAAAGAATGATGTATTGCAACTATGCCAGCAGCCTTGTTTCTATGTGTGCATATCCAGTGAGTGCTGGGCCCTCCAACCCTCCCTCCTGCCGGTAGGAGAAATGGCTTTGCCCTATTTAGTTGTGCAGAATGTGAGAGCCTTATACATGCTACGTACTAGATCGATGTCAGACCCTGTTGTCAGAAAAGCCGCTGGTCCTGACACTCCGTGGTACCTCTGCAGTAAGCCAGCCTGCTACAGAAATGGTTCTTGTATTGCAATGTCTGGGGTTTGGCCTCTAATACTCACTGCCTCAGACATGCTTCCACCTGTTTCACTAAAATATATTGATGGCCGTATTTTGAAAGGGCATTCTGCATACCCACGCTTGGCAGAGCGTGAGGCTGAGTCAAGGCTTCTTAAATAAATACGTAACTCCTCTGAAGTCAGAGTGAGAGGACATGCTGAAAGCATTATGAACTTTTCCTACACCTGGAGAAGCTTCACGTGCAGTCTAGTTACTCATTTTGGAGAGCTCCTGCCTGAATGAAGAACACAAACCTCCCGTGCAGGCTTCCAATTGAACTGATGCATTAGTCCAGTGAAACCACTCTGAGTTACCTTTCAGTTGATGGCACTTGTAATCCAGCCTTCAAGAAGTCTAAGCAGGGTCCCTTTGGGAGGAATTACTGTATTTTCAAAGGGGCACTTCTGAAGTGTGCTTGGAAAAGTAATCCAAATGTGGTGATTAAAAGGTCTGGGGTGTTTGGAGTAGGGGACGAAGTGAAGCAGTCACCTAAGGACATGTTTAAAAAGTCGCTCAGTGCTATGCCAGAAGTGAATAGACATGTGGGGGCAAAGAGACTCCTAAAAACGTGTTAATCCTGAACGCAGCAGATCAGGACTTTTGTCTCCTTCGAGACACTTTCTGGTTCCATGTCAGCGTTTAGTGTTTGGCAGCTTTTTCAACACTCCCTGATTCCGTTTATCTCTGCTCCACATCCCATTCTCTTACTGCCCTCGTCCTCCTCTCTGCAGGATTGGATGGGCAGGGTGTAGGTGGCGGTGGTTGTCCTCCACATCCTCCCCTTATGTTGTCCATTTAATTCAGGAGCACTGATTCCTCCGAAGGGTGCTCTACCATGGGAAAATGCACATGTGTGTCTCGATACAGGAATAATTGAAAGCACTTTTTTTGCAGAAAAAGCTGGTGATTCAAGGGAAGCAGATTGCAATGCACTACAGCAACCCCAGGCCTAAATTTGAGGACTGGCTTTGCAACAAGGTACAGCACATGTTTTTATTGGAAGGCATTTGTCTTGACTTTGGTGCTCTCCACTAGCTCAGTGATTTGAACAAAGTGGCATTCAGACCTGCTCCTGCTGGTGGTCCATAGGACATCAGTGGTGTAGTGAGATGAGGGAACAAAAAGGCTTCATAGCTGTGGTGGCAAAGTAGAGTGTGATACGTGTTGCCCCTGAAGACAGAGATGGGCATGAGCTGTACTGAGTATGAAGTCATTAGATGGTGCCTTATCTGATGTGGAATTGCTGTTACACATTGCTGTGCACTGCTTGTTTGACCTCCCAAAGAGGAGATGATGTACTAAGATGAAGATCAGGGTGTTCTGTCAGGCTTTTAGTTATGCTTTTTGTCTATAAAGTTAACTTGTTCTCCAGCCTGTGTTCCATTGTAACATGGTGGGTTTTAAAGCAGTTACTGTTCCTGGAAGTGTAAGTTACAAGCCACATAGTTAAAATGACTAATTTGGGATGACTAGGGGAAAAGTAGCTGGGGTGTTCTGAAGAGCAGCTGTGGTGCAGATAAGGATGGCATTTGGTGTTCTGGATTATTCTGGTGGGTTTAGCTGTGTTGTGTTACATTGTTTGCATGTCTGGGTTTTGTTACTGTACAGCAAATGCAGAACTCTGTAACAAATTACCTGAGTTCTTACTAGGCTTGTTTGTTACAGTGCTGCCTGTACAACTTCAGAAGGAGGCTAAAATGCTTCCGCTGTGGAGCAGACAAATTCGGTATGTTACCTTGATCATTTTGGTTCTGTTTGATTTTGTGGGAAACTTAATGGCCTGTGAAGGAAGCAAAGTTCACTGTAGATCCTAGACTGGCTTGTGAAATGCTGAGCTTGAACGGATGAACCATGTCCTGACTGAAATATTTTCTCTTCTCATGCAGATTCAGAACAGGAGGTACCACCTGGAGCAGCAGAAGCTGTTCAGTCTGTGGATTATTACTGTGATAGTAAGTTATCTTATTGTAGAATGTGAAATGTAAGCATAGGTACTAAAATCCTTTCTGTCCCTCAGCCTGCCCACTGAAGGACTTGAAGTACTCTGCAAAGCCATTATGTGCACTGCTAATGTCATACTTTGTTTTCTCCTCAGCCATCATTCTCCGAAACATTGCTCCTCACACAGTAGTGGAATCCATCATGACTGCCTTGTCTCCGTATGCATCTCTGGCAGTCAATAATATTCGTCTTATCAAAGATAAGCAGACTCAGCAAAACAGAGGCTTTGCATTTGTGCAGCTGTCTTCTGCCATGGTGAGGGCTCTATTGATACGCTGAGAGAAATAGCTGGTTAATGTGCTTCTGTAGCTGCAGCATTTAAAGCCCTTGAGCTGTTTGAAGGACTGCCCTGCTTCACCAGGGTTAAGTGCCACTCAGTGTGTCAAAGCTGTTCATCATCAGCTGCAGTTTGAAAGAAGGTGGTGGGGTGTTGGGAGCACATTGAAAAGCTGGTTTTGAAGCAGAGTGCTGTTCTGGGCTAGATTCATGCTTGGATCTCAAAAACAATGGTGTGGGATTGTATTTTCTTCACAGAAATTAAGATCTGGGGCATATAATGTGGGACAGGTGCACAGAATTAGGCTTCTTCCACCTTGAGAAGGAGGAGGAGGGTGGATCTTGCTCTTCTCTGCAGCATGCAGTGGGAGGGTGTAGGGACAGCAGAGACTTACTCTCAAGGATATAGAGGTAGGACAGTAGGCAACAGCTACAAGTTGAAGTGCTGGAAATTGCAGTGAGGTACAAGGAAAACTTCTTAAGTTTCAGGGAGGTCAGGTTGTGGCAGGGAGTCCCTGAAGGGTGGTGAAGTCTCTGTTTCTGGAAACATTTAAAAGAGGTGTAGGTGTGGCAGCTTGGGACATCATTTAGTGGTGGACTGGGCAGTGCTAGATAATGGTTGGACTTGGTCTTAAAGGTCTTTCCCAGCCTAGTTCAGCATAGACTCCATGAGTCTGTATGTCTGACTCAGATGAAATGGGATCTGTTTGGACCTGCTTTAGTCAGTGGAGCAGGTTGTTGGATGAAAATGAATGCCTGTTCGCAGTCTGTGCTGGCTTCCCGTTGGGAGTCATTTGGGGGCTTTATAAAATTAATATTTTAGAACAGTAATAGTCAGTGACCAGGAGAAACAAAATTTGCACATGGGCTGTGATTGATTGGTGGGACGGTGTTCTTCTGTGTGCGTGTAGTATGAGGAGAGGGAGGTGTTCTTACGGCTTTAGCTCTTTTCAGTGGCTGTACATGAAAAGGTGGAGCTTTGGGAACTTCTGACTCCTCCTCAGTAACCTGCCTTTCATAATAATGAGTATTTCTCGTTGTAGGATGCTTCTCAACTGCTGCAGATTTTACAAAGTCTTCAGCCACCATTAAAAATTGATGGCAAAACAATTGGTGTTGACTTTGCAAAGAGTGCCAGAAAGTGAGTTGTGGTAGCAGTCGATTGTGGTTTTGCTTTTTTTTATTCTCCCCAATTGTATTGGAGGTTTGTTGTTGTCACCAAGGCTTTTGTTAAGATAACTGTAACTCCAGAGTTTTGCTTCGCTTAAGTGTCTTGTGTTGCATGTGTCCTGCTCTTCACTGTGTGAGGAGAGTGAAAACAGTGTTCCCTACCCACCCCTGTTTCCACTTCTCTGAAGATAACATTGGAACTGCTTGTGTGCACAGCACACTTGTTTCCTTGGAGACCTACTGGCTTGTTATTGATGGTACAACAGTGAACTTGAAGTTCTTTACTTGCCAAGCAGTGCTTTGGCTCATTCATTACATTCAGGATGTTTTATTACTGCCAAGGGCAGACTCTACCTCCTTGCATGGGGAGACCCTTCAGAAAAAAATGCAGTATTTACTGACATGCTGATTTTTGTGATTGCAGAGATCTGCTTCTCCCAGATGGTAACAGAGTCAGCGCCTTCTCTGTGGCAAGTACAGCCATTGCTGCAGCTCAGTGGTCATCCACGCAGGTATGATTTCAAGGCTGTTGCTCATATTTCTGCTTTCCTGAAAATGAAATTGTAAGAGCCTATAATTTCTCTGATGGCCACTTTCTTGGCTGAATTGACCAATGGCAGATCTGGGTGTGATACATCTGCTCCTGACAGTCAGTTTGGAGCCTGAGCAAAGTTGAAATTCTGAAATACAGTAACTTACTTGTCCCTGACAAAAATTGCTTGCTTGAATTTCAGCCACAGACTGGAGAGGGCAGCACCCTTGACTACAGCTACCTCCAGTCAGGACAGGATGGCTACACGCAGTATGCTCAGGTTAGTAGTAGTGGTTGGTTGTGCTCTCACTGGTAGGTGGTTGTAATTTAGGTATCCAGTCATCTTACGGTGTCATTCATTTCTCTCTGCAGTACTCCCAGGATTATCAGCAGTACTACCAAAATCAAGGAGGAGTGTTGGACACAGACTCAGCTACCATATCAGGTAGTGCTTCCAGCGTCAGTAAGAAGCAGTTGTTTGTAATGATAATTTTGCAATAGAGATATTTTACCTTAGCCTGTATGTTGCTTTGCTGTGTAAAAGGAGACTTGGCTCATTTTGCTCTCAGGATGTCTGAAAGAGCGTGTGTTACTAGACAATTGTAACAGATTCATTTAGGTGAGACCTCTCGTGCAGAATGAGAGAACAGCCTCTGTTTCAGACTGTTGACAAGACCTTGAACTCATTACAGTGGTGTAAGCAGCCCTAGGCAAATGTTAGCACTAGCAGCTGTCAGAGGCCAGGAATCGCTGACTTCGGGAGCAGAATATTTCCTCCTGAAAAGGAAACTATTCTTTGTGTAGAAAATACCCACTGTGTATCTGTCTCCTTTTGAACGTTTATTGCCTTGTTTGGCTGCTGGAGCTGGAATTAAGAGCTGAAACTGTAAACAAAGTAATTTTAGCCCTAGGATGCAGTACTGTTTTACAAATTAGTTGGCTTATCCATTACTGCTCTCTGTTGGCAGGAGCTCCGGTCACCACCACCACAGCTGCAGTTGTATCCCAGAGTCCTCAGTTGTATAATCAGCAGACAAACTCACCTGACTCTCCGGTAAACGCTGCACTGCTGAGTCCTTGTGTTCAGCATGGGGGTTCTGTGGGATATGTGTCTTAGCTGCAGCCTTCGCTTTTTAAAGCGGGTGGTACAGCAAAGCAGCTGAGTGTCCATGGGTTAGTCACAGTGTTTGTGGTCATAAGTCACCTGCCATTTTCTTTTCTGTGATCGTTTTGTTTGTTGCTAAAGGTGAGTGCCAGGCTGCTGGTGAGGAGGAGTTAGCTGTCGTATGTGTGGGGTGGGTTGCTCACGCCTTGGCTCGCTGTCCTTGCTTTCTTGCACCTCAGTGACAGGTTTTCTAATTGAGGTTCCTGGTTTGGGTTTTTTCAGACACAATCAGCACCACCTACCACTAGCACTCAGGCACAGGCGGCTGCTCCGACTGGCGTGGTGCCTGGAACCAAGTACGGTAAGCACTCAGGAGCTGCTCTTGGGGACAGGTTTCTGTCACTGTGTAGCAAGAGAGAGACTCAGCTTTGGCTGAGTGCTCCATCACTGTGTGTCGTGGTGAAGCTGCCCCTGGAGAGCATATTCTGCACGGGTGATTAAGAGCCCTTTACAGACATGTCTGCCATTGTGGCTGCTAATAATCTCCGAATTTTACCTGAAATGTAGAAAGATACCTGTCTGAATTCGTCTGGAACCACCATGTCCCACACTTTAATTTTTTTACAGCTGTCCCTGACACTTCCACCTACCAATATGATGAATCTTCAGGATATTATTATGATCCTATAACAGGGCTCTACTATGATCCTAATTCCCAGGTAAACACAAGTTCTTCCCACATGTCTTAACTGTTAAGGTCCATTAGTTCCCTCTCTCATCATATGAGTGACATTTGAAGTGCACAAAATACCGAATGTTGCAGATAACTCTCAGGAGTGTGTAGGGCTGGGACTTGACTTCCCTTTGGTATAGCCTTTCATTTTTCTCTCCTTTTCCTTAATTTTCCTCCCAGTTTGGCCCATAGAGGATTAGCGCTTGTCACAGCCACTGTTACTGAGCTGTTTCGTTGTGGAGTGCCCAGCAAAGTGCACCCAGCTCTGGGCTCTGGTGGGTCATCTCTTGGGAGAAGCAAAAGGTTCTCCATAGTGCTGTTGGGCAGAATCACCTGTGTTTGGGGACAGAGGCTTCAGCCACTTCCTGCCTTTTGGCTCCTTTGTGGAGTCTGCAAAACTTGTTTGGACTCTACAAAACGGCTTCCCGTGTGGTGCAGTAGTGTGAATCAGCTTGCTTGGGTTCTCCCATGGACGCTGAGCTCCTGTGAGGCGTTTAACTGTTCTGCCTCTCCTTTCCTCTGGCAGTATTACTACAATGCCTTAACCCAGCAGTACCTGTACTGGGACGGCGAAAAGGAGACGTACATGCCTGCTGCAGAGGGTGTCACGTACCAACAGACAGCTACCACAACCACCACCAAAGAAGTTAAGGAGAAGAAAGAGAAGCCTAAAAGTAAAACAGCTCAACAGGTAAAAGACAAAATGGGATCATAAGTGGGATAAAGTCTTCTGTGGAATGGGATAATAGTTCTCCCCTTTCATGACAAAGGAAATCCTGCGTTATTCGGTGGGGTGCATGTCTGCAATTTGCAGGTGTTGTAGAGGGCTGAGGAGAGGTGGAGTTGGCAAGGCTTCAGTGCAGAAATAAGCTCTGCATAGGAGGATTGCTTCTGGAATCCTGCCAGGACCAGTGGGAGTATTACTGAGCCATCACTTAGAGGATTAACTTGATAAGAAGGGTTTGTACAGTAAAAGCAGCAAGCTGCGGTATCTTTGAACGCTGTACACAGGGAAACAGCTGCACTGCATCCAGTGTCCCATGGTTTAAAAATAAAAGGTAGTGGGTTGACTTGTTCTGAAACTGCATGTGAGATTGAATGTGTGTCATAAAAGATTGATAGCTCTGAGGGGAGCTGTATGAGCAAACCACTCTGCATTTCAGATTGCTAAAGACATGGAGCGTTGGGCAAAGAGTTTGAACAAGCAGAAAGAGAACTTCAAGAATAGCTTCCAGCCGCTGAGTACCAGGGAGGAGGAGCGGAAGGAGTCAGCAGCTGCGGATGCAGGCTTTGCTCTCTTTGAGAAAAAGGTGAAGGTGCTGACAGTAGTGTGCAGGGCGGGGAGGGTGGCATGGCAGGGAGCTCAGTGCTCATGATGTTCTTGTCTCATCCAGGGAGCTCTGTCTGAGAGACAACAGATCTTGCCAGACGTGTTGAAAAATGGGGATGATGAAAATCCACTGAAGGTGAGTATGATACCTGGCAGAGGTATTATCAAAGGTTACTGATAAAGCACTGGAGAGGAACTCTAGCAGATACTTGCATTCCAACCTGGATTTCCATGGCATCACCTGTAGAATTTGGTGGTGGTGGTTGCCGTGATGCCGTGCAAGTGCACTAGGCTGTGGGTGACAAATACACTGAGAAAGCCTGTGATTCCTTCCAACCTCAAGACCTCGGTTGAGGTTTTGAGGTTTCTAAATACGCTGTGCTTAAAAGTATTGTTTGGCTAGTGGGAACCAGGCTTTGCAGCCACTGTAGTCTAATGTGGTTCTTCTGAGTTGCAGTACTAGTAAAAATATGTGCCTGCTACTGAATTGAATGGGGACCCTTACTACATGGGTGGCAGAGAAGGATGAAGTACTTAACACTTCCTTTGCTTCAGTCTTCACTGCCAAGCCCAGACCTTCCTCATCTTTCCCTGTCTTGGCAAAACTGAGGAAGAACTATTACTGTGGGGATGACTGAGCAGTGGAATAGGTTTCCTAGAGAGTTGTTTGGAAATACTCTGAGGTTGTCAGGACACAGTCCTGAGGAATGCATGCTATAGGGGACCCTTTTTGATTAGGGAGGTTGGTCTAGCTGGCCTCCAATGGTCCCTTTCAAGCTCAGCCATTCTGTGATTTCATCCTTATAATGGGAGAGTGATGCTTTTGTTGTAAACACACACATCTGCAGCCTCTGTGTTCCCTCTGTGAACTGTGGTGACACTTGCACTCCCCTCAGTGCTGTCGTTCCTTTCCAGCGTGGCCTTGTGGCTGCCTACAGTGGTGACAGCGATAATGATGAGGACTTACTGGAAAGAATGGAGAATGAGGAAGAGAAGCTGACTGACTGGAAGAAGATGGCTTGCCTGCTGTGCAGAAGGCAGTTCCCAAACAAAGATGCCCTGATTCGGCACCAGCAGTTGTCTGACTTGCACAAGGTAGTTGCACTATGCAGCCAGGAAGGGACTTGGTTGCCAGAATTCAGTATGTAAACTCAAAGCCGTGGTGCTTGTTGCTGTTTGGGAAAATACTCCTTTTAAAGTAGAAATAACTGCCAGTGGATTGTTGCTCTCCCAGAAGTCAGCTACTTGAAAAGAGCTGTTGTGCATTTCATGTTATTAAACTGAATCTCTTTTTGTTGCAGCAAAACATGGATATCTATAGGAGATCAAAGCTTTCTGAGCAGGAACTTGAAGCCTTGGAGCTGCGTGAGAGAGAGGTCAGTGTTGAGATGAGCAGATGAGTAGCTAATGGAAAACCTGCACAGGTGGTCTGTTGAGCTCTCCTTATCCTGACATGTCATTTGAGATAATCCTTGTAAGCCAGCGCCTTCTTGGGTCAAGGTTCAGAGCCACCCTCTTACATGGAGAGAAGTGTCCCATATCCCACAGCTACAGCTTAGCAGGGAAGGGTCATTCCATCTCCAGCGTAGGGCTGTATATAGACTGGGACCAGAAACTAGCAAGTCTCTTCCTACCCTAGTGCAGGTTCAGATTTGCTTCAGGATCTGGTGTTCTGCTGTCTGTCATGTTAATTTTAGCAGGCTGCAGTGGACAGCTTTCTGTAGTGGCAGGCATTTAGCTTACTGTCATAGCTCAAAGATGAACAAGTGTGTTGAAGTCCATACTAACTGTGGTTGCTTTATGCAGATGAAATACAGAGACAGAGCAGCTGAGCGGAGGGAGAAGTACGGCATCCCAGAGCCCCCTGAGCCCAAGCGCAAGAAGGTCTATGATGCTGGCACAGTGTATGTATCCAAAAGCTGCTCAGCAGTTGCTTCAGTACACAATGAACAGTTTGGTTTACTCATCTCTTCTTCCTGCAGGAATTACGAGCAGCCCACCAAAGATGGCCTTGACAACAGTAACATAGGCAACAAGATGCTGCAGGCCATGGGCTGGAGGGAAGGTTCGGGCCTGGGGAGAAAATGTCAGGGCATCACAGCACCCATTGAGGTAAGTAGAGAGGAATGGCTCCCTCAGGAGGTTTGGTGCCTTTGTTTGTTTTTAATCCAGAAGCACTCACTGATGAAGATCTCTGGAGGAATAAACTGCCATCAACAGCAAAGCTGCGTCTGTTCATGTTGGCTCCTGCTCCTGTTTCTCCTGTTGGATGCTAATGCAGAGGCAGAGCTGTGCTCCTTACTTTGGCACTCCTTTGAAGTGCTTTGGCAGCAGTACTCTGGGGTGGACTGCCCTCACTCCAGCTGTTGCCTTTCCTGGCCTTACCTGTGCTCTAGGTTGGCTGTTAGGAACTGTTTGTGCAGTTTCATTCCAGCTTCTGTTGGAATGGGGTCGGAGCAGTGTGAATACAACAAGCATGGGGTTTTGTCTGCACTCACATCTCTTGCTGTCTGTATGGCTGTGGGGGATCCCCAGGGAAGCTCAGGAAGCTGGCTGGGCTCGAGGGGTTTTTTTGGTGATGTCGTGGTGGTATGGCTGTTCACTGCGGAGGTGAAGTAGCTCTCTCTCCCCCTGCAGGCCCAAGTACGGATGAGAGGAGCTGGCTTGGGAGCCAAGGGCAGTTCCTACGGCGTCTCTACTGCGGATTCATACAAAGATGCAGTGCGGAAAGCCATGTTTGCTCGCTTCACGGAGATGGAGTAACTCCTGCCTGCGAAGCACTTCCTTGTTAGCCAGAACTGACTGTTAAACTGTAGCCTTGGTGACCTGGCTGTATTCTGGTTAGAGCTGACCATTTCATTCCCTTGGGCGATGTTCCCCTCTCAGCATGTAACACTTCCATGAGCAGATTGTTTGAACTGCCCCAACTTCATGCTGGAGAGCTCCTGGTTAGACCAAAGGGGATGATGTTCTTCGCACGGTCATGTACATAGTGTAATGTATTCTGTGTTCGGAGCGTGTTGTCCAGGTGCAGCTCCTGCCCTCCAGAGCAGCGGCGGGACCCGTTAGCTGTGGTTTCACACTGTCTCTGCTCTCCTTTTGTTGTATTGTCTGGGTTTTGTTTGTTGGTTTGTTTTTGTTTTTTTTTTTGAGAACTTTTCCTGTACATTTTGTATGATATATCTTTGTATAGACTTTTTGAAGACTTTGATTCTAGTTGCCAGTTTGGCTCATTTCCAAAAGAAATACATCCAGAAATTATCCTATTTCTGTTTCTCGGTGGATGAATGAAGAATTAAGTTGCCAATGCCACTTGTCCTTTCTGTTGTTCTGCCTCTTCCTTGATGAGACTTCGTTCTGGAGTCTTCTCTCCATGCAGCACTCTGCTCACCTCCCTCCTTTTCATCCCTGCACAGCTCCAGGGTGGACACTGGCTGGTGGAGCATCAGATGTCCACATTGCACTTTCCTTCCACAGCTGTAGGAACGGGAGAGGACCAACTGCAGTGTCTGCAGCTTGTTGGGTCCTGCCCAGAAGCCCCAGGGTGTTACCTGCGGGCCTTACGGTGGATGAGGGGCTGGTGGGGAAGGGACCAGACTGTGTAGCACCTAGGGCAGTTTCTGTGCTCTGCCTTGGCTTCCTCTGGCCTCCCTGAATAGAGTGGTGAGGCTGTGGCAGGTTGGGCGACAGTGAACCTCCTCCCAGTGGTGGAGTAAAGTAGCTCTTCAGTTACTTTACTGCCTTCCTGTTTTTTTGCCTGTGTCATATGTTGCTTGTCCACCCTCCTGTCCTCTTCCCAAGAACCAAGATGAGCAGAGCAGGGCTCAGCCCTGACCTCGGCTTCACTGATGCCTTTGGCTGTGGGCCTTGCACAGCCTGCACAAGGAAGCTGAATCCAGGAGTAGGCTTTACTACTGTCTGGGTGGGCATAAGAATGCATTAGGATCAAGCAGGAGCATCACCACTTGTTATTGGTGCAAGACCCATCTGTGGGTCGAGGCCAGATCCTTGAATCCCACTTGACCAGAAATGCCTCTATGCCCTGAGGCACGGGCTGGCCGCTGCCTGATTTTTTGAGGGGTGTCTGCCTTGGAGTGAGCCGAGGTGTGGAAGCCCTTACCCCTGCCGCGGGATGGGGTCCCTCCCCG